GAGGGAAAGCATTCTGCCTGAGTCTGACCCTACCCATTCTGATTAGGGGTTGGAACTTTGAAAGCTCTTGGGTCAGTATGACAAGCAAGTATCCATTCTTGAGACCTGCTAGTCTGTTGTCTTTGAGGAGTTCAGACAGGGGAAGCTGCTTCTTGGACCTCAGAAGCTTGGGTTCAACCCAGAGAGAAATCACTCCACAGGCCAGGCATCTAAAGACCTGGAGACAGAGAGCACAATTTTGTGCCCCTTGTCAACAGGATCAACAGTAACAACACATGTGCACAAGGTCAGACGATGCAGAGTTATAAATGGAGTTCTTAATTGGTCTAAGTAATAAATACAGATATAGAAGGAAATGCTGAGAGATCAGAGAGAAGGAGCAAACCACCACCACACCTTACCTCCTAGCATCTCAGCAGACAAGAGAGCAAGGTCAGTGTCTGCTCCTCAGCTCTTTAGTGTCAGTACTAGTGACGGGCTTAAATAAGTTGTATTTCATACTGACTCCTTAATTGTAATTTCCAGGACTATTTCCTACAGGAAACTCTATTCTTTAGCTCGGGCTTTGTGTATTCACAGATCACTGTTGTCATGTGATTTGGACACAGTTAACTCCCCAGGATACTATGATCTCTTATATTTCAGGCAACACACTCTTGCTGTCAGCAAAGCTCCTACCTCACAAGCACATAAAATCCAGGCACGGTGGCACACCTCTGTAAACTTAGAACTGTGTTAGCAGAGATAGGTGGTTCCCTCAGCTCATTGGCCAGCAAATCTAGCCAATCTACTGATCACTGTGCTCAGCAAGAGATCGTGTCTCAAAAAACAATGTGGAACGTGATCAAGGAAGATATCCAATGTCCTCTAGCCTCTGGATATGCATACATGAACACAAGTGTATACATTCACATATGTCACCACCCCACAACACACACACCAGAACCCAAGTAGAGAAGGGTTGTGCCTCAGTGTCTCAGGTATTGACTAATTGTAGATGGCATTGGATACAAATAGTTACAAGGACTGGTAGAGTTCAAGATCAACTGAGTTCAACTTGCCTTTATTCTGGGCCAGAAATCAGTATCCATTCTAAATTGATAATTAAAAGAGAGAACATTCCAGAATTCTTGTAGTCAGCACTAGCTAGCTCTCAGAAAGTCTTATAATCAGGGATTCTTCTTTATGTCTGATTTGATTTACTCCCACAGGTCATTAACTGATGTCATGTGGTTGAGTTCTCCACTGAAGTTTCTATAATTTTCATTTAATTGGGCATGTGGAGGCTGGGTCAGAATGTATTATTAATTCTGTGATCTTCGTGTTATAGTTAAATGACTTTATGCTATCACTTAGGCTTCTTAAAATTGAAAGAACAGAAAAGAAATGGCATGTAAAATGACTTGTGAAAAGTCTTACTTGTATCATTTATGCAAAATAGTTGTAGACAAACACAAATTTCACACACAAGCTTGTTAAATACCCCTGTTATTAAAGAGGCCTGAGAAGTAGCTGTGAAATGTCTTTGTTTCCTAAGTTTCTGAGAGACAAACCTTCAGAAGCAGTGGTATAAGTCACGATCCATTCATGAATGTGATGGCCTCCACCGCATCCTACTGGCAGTAGCCTCCTTTTAACACTTGCAGTCCAAGTGTTCCCTAGAGGATGAGGTGCAGGTGAAGCAGCATGGACTGCTTTATCAGGATGGGTTCTCTGTCCTCACTAAACACTCAGATATCTAAGGGACAGATTCCTGGTTAGGCGGTATCATTAGTGTCAGCGCCTTAAGAGAATTAAAAGACTTGTCTTTAAGTACGTCCTGTCTGCTCACTGGGATAATGGATTTTGAAGTTTATGTAACAGCTCTAGAAGCTCTGGGACTCCTCTGGAAACCTACATGCCAAATTCAACAGGATTTCTTTGTGCTCCACAAAATTCCTGGAGACTTCCAGTGCAAACATACTGCAGACCCCTAGACTGGTGTCCTGCTTTGGGCAATTTTATTGCATTATGTAATGCTTCTCTGTCAGAACAGAATAGCTCACTGGATCTTTCATTCAGTATCCCAATGAACACGTATAGTTTGAATAAAAGGACTTCAAAGTACTTGTGACTTTAAAGGCAGCCATCTGTTCTTTAGACAGTTAAGTTGAAGAAAAATAAGATGATCACTTTTATTACTTTGTACAGCAATGTTCCCAGGGATCTAAGCCCTTTCTCACAACTAGTTTTGATCATATGTATCTTTTTAAATTCAGCAATTTTTCTGAAATAATACTGAAAAACAATATATTATAACCTTAAATATTTGAAAGCATATTTTAAAGAAAATTGAGATTGTGTATTTATGGTATATATTCCACTCAGAAACATTCCTTTTATGAATGAACACTAAGAAAAATCCATCTGCCAGGTTAAGCAATAGATACAAGAGTGATACATAACTTTGCTTACAGTGGGAAAACTAGAACGATGGAGCCATTCCAAAAGATGAATAAGAAGGAAATAGAACATCTAAAAGAAAGTTTTTAATGAGATTTACAAAGTGTGTGTGTGTGTGTGTGTGTGTGTGTGTGTGTGTGTGTGTTGGTGCCTAAGGAGACCAGAAATGGCCATCAGATCCTCTGAAGATGGACTTACAGATGATTGTGAGACAACTGGCCTCACAGGAACAAAATTTGGATCCTCTGAAAGAGCAGCAAGTGCTTTTAGCCACCAAAGCAAGTTCTTGAGAAAAATTTCCAAATCTTAGGAAAGCTCCAAAATATAGTAGAGGAAGATACATGCATGTGATTTGTTTTTAATGTTACTTAAAAGTTGCTTGGGACAAAAGCTAAAAATTGCTTCTAAGAAAAAGGTCATTTAATGTTAATATAAAGAAACAGAAGGAGGTATATGGAACCCGAGCCAGTGGAACTAGGAAGGAGGGTTGGAACATGCTTTCTCTGGTTTTTCTTCACACATTTCCCCCTCAGAGGAGGAAGTCACCACTGTGAATAACAAGCACACTTGTCACTCTTTATCTTTGCTCTCTGGTAACACCACAGAGAGTTACCAAGACCCATTTCAGAGAGTATTTATTGAACACAAGATAGAAACATATTAATGCTTGCTTTTGATTATTTGCTATCTATTATCTAGTGGTGTTTCCTTTGGAGAAACTTGAAACCATCAAAGTCCAAACGACAGACTCATCCAAATAATCTGTCCTGGTGCCCAAGCTGTTTCCTATTAAAAGCCTCCTCCTTCCCCCCTTCCTGATACATGGATATGGATATGGATATGGGTATATATGTATGTATTTAAAGTAGGATGGGGTGGCAGCTGGAGAGGTGGCTCAGCAGTTAAGAGCACTGGTCCTTTTGTCAGAAAATACAGGTTAGATTCCCAACACCCACATGATGGCTCACAACCATCTGAAACTCCAGGCCTTCTTCTGGCTTCCATAGATACCAGGCATGCATGCAATACATATATATGCATGAGGGCAAAACACTCATACATATAAAATAATAAGAAATTTTAAAAAATTAAAAAAACAATACAGCAAGCAATGACAACAGGATTTCACTGTCTAATGCTGATTGGCCTTGAACTTATGATCTTCCTGCATTGGCTATGCTGAGATCACAGACACGTATCAAAGGAAAGTTTTCATTTCCCACACCCACACTGAAGATGGAATCAGTGTCTTGTGGACGTGAATGTTCTTTGGTGCAGAGATGGAGACAAAGAACAAAGTCCAGGAGTGCATCCTGTTCACTGTGGGGTCCAGGGGTCAAACACGGGTGGTCGGGCTTGCATGGCAAGTGCTCCTACCTGCTGAGCCATCTTGCTGGTCCAGTGATGTTTAATTTCTTTTTTGTTTTGCTTCATTTTTATGGTATTGGGGATTGAACCCTGGACTTCACAGATGCTAAACAAGTGTACTCCCATTGGACCTACATGCCAACTCCAGGTTTACCTCTTCTGTGAAGTGTGTCATAGATGCATCAGCATATCACAAGTTCACATGACTCCAATGTGTACAGCATGACCTGTGTTCTCACCGACCCCAGAGTGCCTGTGTTCTCACCGACCCCAGAGTACCTGTGTTCTCACTGACCCCAGAGTACCTGTGTTCTCACTGACTCATTCTAGCTTTTATCTACCCAGTATTTACTGAACAGATATTGACAGTATTTTTTCTCTCACTGGTTCCTTCTGATTTTGGTGGTCTCCCTAATGAGACTGGGACACAAATCAGGGAATCCATATCTATATGAGTCTCAGAATGTAAATCCTCCTTTGGTTCTATTTCCACTTAAAAAATGAAAAAGAAAACCGATTCTTTAAGGAACTCGTGACTTATTTGTTTTACTCTAGCAGTCATTAGCTGCTGAATGTGTCTCAGTTTCAGAATGCTGCAGCAGCCATACAGCCTCCTACTGCCAGCATTGTCTGCTATTCATGTGACTTGAACTTCAGGACAGTTATTTGACTGTTATTTGACTAGAGAATTCAAATCAGGAGTGGGGAAGAAAGTGATGGGTGTGCTTATGTAGTCTATAGATGACTAATTATTGATAAAAATGTTTGACTTACCTGTAAAAGCATCGTACAAAGAAGTCATAGCATGAGAAACATTTTTTAAAGACCCAAACAAATAAAAGGCATGATAAAATAATCAATTACAATTTCCAAAATAACATCTTTGTTTCTACTCAGAAGTGTGAATATGAAATTTTATGCCCTTTAACTAACAACTAGAAACAAAAGTTATTCTAAATATGAACAGTGTATAGATCAAAATATCACCCTGTTCACATTTCTCAACAGCCCGTAAATCAAACAAAAATGTCATTGTCCCTCTGAGTTGTAATTGTTGGTCTCTTAGTTATCACATTTTCCCTTTCAGATATTCTTTATTTTATTACAAAAATAAATCTCTATAGAAGAAGAGAGCATTTAAGATAAATCCTACACAGGCGGAACAAAATAAAGAAATAGAAAAAGCCAACCTTTATTCCACTTTGAACAAGTTTGTGAATGTCCAAGTAAGGCTCCTTGAAAATGTCTCCTTCTGGGGTTAGGATCTTCACATACCCTTCCTTCTCTAGAATGAAGAGGCGATGGGAGCCATCGCCACTGTGCACAGCACCCACCGGCTGCCGCAGCCCACTCACTACCTCCTGGACACAGAAGCAGTTGTGTTTGTGTTTTCTAAACAAACCAGAGAAAAACAGTCAGTCCTCCCGCTGATGGAGGTGCAAACAGAGCACAGCACATTTCCCAAATGTATCCATTTCCTCAAAAAACAAAAACAAAACAAACCCAAAACAAAAAACAAAACAAAAAAACAATAGTTTTGAAAATCAGGAAGGGCTGCTAACACAGGCACCCTACAATAGGATTCTTTTTGTTAATTCATATTATCTTTTCAATGGAAAATAACAAGATATCATTTTCTCAGAAAGTAAAAGTGAGAACCAGAATGGTTTATTCTGAAATGTCATTAGCTCATTATCTCATCTTTCAGTGACTATAAGTAAAATTTGCTTTTACTCACAATAATGAGCCTTTATGAGAAGGCATTTAAGGAGAGAGTTCTAAGATCCATTTATATAAAGAAAACCTGATTTGCTAATAATAAACATGCTGAATATTTCCATGGTGCCATAAACCTAACAACAATCATAAAATTCAAGTTGAACACTGTACCCATAAAATTCCCATGAGTCATGGGGAAGCCAAGCTCATAACAGAGGATTAGGGGGCTGAGTATTAAGTGCATTTAAGCTATGATTTTAGAGGAGCAAACCACTAAGAAGGAAAAGAAGTTAATGCCAGTGGAGTCTACCGCTCCTGAGCACAAGCACAGAGAAGTATGTCCTGTCAAAATCACAGATTTATTACTTTTTTCTTTAAGATTAAAGAGCATTGAGGGGGTAGAGAATGTGGGAGGAAGAAGGGAGGGGGAGAGAGAGAGGGGGAGAGGAAGAGGGAAAGGGCGAGAGAGAGATGGAGGAGGGAGAAGGGAAGGGGGAGAGGGAGCGGGAAATTATATGGACCTGCTGAGCTCCTCCACCTTCTCATACTCTTCCATCTGGTCCAAGTAGTTGGACGCCGGTCCTCTGACTTGCTTTCTTGGGAAGTCTGGAAAGCAGGACCCGCCATCTTTTCTTGAGTAGTAAAAACAAAACTCATCAGCAGTCGTTTGAAGAAGACCTTTAAACAGACATGGAGAAAGACTCCTTAGAACCATGAAGTGTTCTAGCAAAACCAGCTCATTTGGGCATCTGGCCAAAGAAGATTTTTAGAAAGCATATGAATATTCACAGGGGAAAACCAGACTACAAAAACATAAAAGGAAAAGGAAAGGAGGGGCTTGGGATTCCCTTTTCTTCTTTAAACACATTTAAGAACTCCAGTAAAAGTATAATCTCCTTATGCTGAGTTCTTTAGAAAGGTTTACTTCTCCTTTTGTATGGTGTGTATGTGTGTTCCTTCATGAGTTTACATGCATCATGTGTGTGCAGGAGTCTGAGGCAACCAGATCCCCTGGAACTGGAATTACAGACAATCTTGAGCTGCCAACATGGGTGCTGGGAACTGAACCTAGATGCTCTGAAGAGCAGTGGGGGATCTTTACCAGTGAGCCGGTTTCTCCAGCCCCTGTGCTGACTACTTGAAAGGCTATATGAAATGCACATTACAAAAGCCAGGGTTAATCTCACTGTGTTGACTCTTCTCAAGCTGCCTCACTGATCACGGGTTATATTTACGAGCTTACCTCATCACTAATTAGCCTAATTTTCCTACAGTACTAAATACTTTCCTAAAAAGAACACATGACAGCTAGAGAAGCGATAGTCTATTGTTTGCCAGTTGTCTTGATGGAATGCATTAATGGAGATAGCAAACATCTCCATATAAAGTGAATGACCCACTATGTAATCTTTAAGCAAGGAATTGATGCTAAGAGGAAGCCCTCTTGCTTCAAATACTTTGGAGCCTTTTTTCCTGTGCTTTTTTCTCTAAGGGATAATGATAAAATATATTTAAATGATCTTCGATCTTCTTAAGAAGAAAACTTGAACAGGTGATAAAATAAAGACAACTTTTCTTCTCTTTCATGTTAAAATCGTTGGTGTATGTGCATGTATGTGTGTGTGTTTGTGTGTGTGTTTATGTATGTGAATATGTGTGTGTTTGTGTGTGAGAACACAGATGTAAATGTAGAGCTCAGAAGCCAACAACTGGTTTTTTCCTCTTTCTTAGTTTTTGAGGCAAGGTCTCTCACTGATTCCAGGATACTGGCTGGCCAGTGAGCCCCAAGGAACCTCCTGTTTCAGTCTCCCTGTCACTGGGGTCACTGGCCCACTCCTCTGTGCCCAGCTTTTTTATGGGTTCCCGGGATTGAACTCAGGTCCTTGTGCTTGTACCATAAGCATTTCACTGACTGAACCATTCCCTGAGCCTGCAAAGAGGTTTTGAAAGTACAAGTCTCCTTGAATCTGCAATTAAAAGCTTTAGACTGGAGGAAAAATACAGAAAAAATTAGAAATCTGTAGTTTAAGGTAAAGGATCCTGGCTTTATTGTGCTTGTCAATATGATTGCTTCTGCGTTTGGAAGACTTTATCAGCCTCTGGGCAATGGATAGATAGCTGCTGGAGTACTTGTTCAGCAACTCAAAGTCCAGGCTTGAACTTAACACCACAAACAAACAAACAAACAAACAAACAAACAAGAAACAAGCAGCACAAACTCCCCTTGATCTGTTTTTATCAGTCAGCTCAGGTGAGAGTGTTTGCTTACCCGAAAGAAAGGATGTCTCTCACCTCCTATCTTCACCTTAGTGAAATTCTGTTTTTTTACATAACAAATTGGAGTTTTCATTGTACCTACTAGTCTTAGGATAACAGTATCTGGTAACTTAGTCAGAGTTTGGAAACTATATAACAAATTCAGGTTTTGCAAGAGTTTCTAAGAACAAGATTTGGAGCTCAGCCAAGCGAGGCTTATTGATTGAGTTTGCCAGACACTCAAAGTTCCTTTGCAGTGAGCTTGACCTGGGTCAGCCCAAACCTCAAAACAAACCAACCATTGGGTGTAAGAGTTCCACATGATAAAGCTCTGGATACATTTTAACCTCACTTTTGGGTGAAATGTATTACCCTTGAATTGTCAACAAAGACTCTTCAAGAGCATTTCTGTCAAGCATATTGGAAAATATCTTAAGTTGGGGAAGATGGCCAGGAAAAGTGTGTGCCCTCAGGAGTGTGTATACACAGAGAAGCAGGGTACTGTGTGTGCCCTTGGGCTATGCACACAGAGAAGCAGGGTACTGTGTGTGCCCTCAGGAGCATGTATACACAGAGAAGCAGGGTACTGTGTGCGCCCTCAGGGGGCTGTGCACACAGAGAAGCGGGGTACTGTGTGTGCCCTCAGGGAGTGTGCACACAGGGATGCAGGGTATAGTATGTGCCCCCAGGGGTGTGTGCACACAGGAGTGTAGGGTATGGGATAGAAGGCATGACAGAGGATTCTCCTTAGGAGTGGCAATAGGAAATTTTCTCTCTTTGAAAATCTGCCAGTGTTGAACACAGAAAGGAACACTTCTTTGGGAATTCACTACAAAAGATAACCTTTCTTTCCCCATTCTTTAATGGTTAAGCACCCATGTAAAAACTAAAAGTGCTAAAAGCAAGTCTATCTGAGCAAAAATAGAAAAGGAAAACTTGAGTTTGCTTTAAAAGCAATTGGTCTGTCTGCAAAGCAGGACTATCTCAAAGGGGATTAATGAATGGAACTATGACTGGTTCCACTTCCAGGAGCATTGTAAGCTGGGGACAAATAGTAGGAAATGAGAACTCATTTTCAAAAAGAATATCTTAACTTCAAGCTAGGATGTATCCTCATAAACTTTGTGTATCCAGATGTATTGACTCTTGATCAAACACACACCTTTTGTTTCTAAAAATTCACTTGAGAGCCTTTCACAGAAGGTGTATATCTAGCCCAGCCTGGATTACCTTGCTAGGGTCAGGTCTACAAATGGAGAGTATTCTTGCAGCTGCTGTTTTTTTTAAACACTTGGTTATTTATCAAGTATTCAGGTCTTAGCCATTTTCCAAGATGGTGAATCCAGCCCTCCTGTCCCATGCAGCACCCTATAAAAATACTGACTTGGAAAAGAAATACTCCCCAGAGTGATTGTGTGTTCCAGCTTCATTTCTCACTACGTATTCTAGAGAAGCTGTATTTCCCCCTTTGTTCATCCATCATGATACTGAAAAGGGGAAGAACCCCTGAATCCCTGGAATGAAGGCTCCTGACATATCCATTCCGTCCCTCTAGCTTGTTCTCCCTGGGACTAATAAGACACATGTGTTAGGTATCTGATGGAGTCAGGGCTGAAGAAACTCAATGGACTCAAACCCTTGACCTTGGCCTCATTAGCTACAGGATTAAACCAATTGAACTAATTGGGTGCAGACCTTTCACACAACTGAAACCTAACTGGGACATGACTGTCTAGAAGTGATAAAAATCATTACGATAATAGGGACAAAATATAAAGCAATGACAACGGGTGTCTCTATGGGCCTTTCTCAGAGTGTATTATACAAGCTTTAGAGAACGCTGTTCATTCAGACCAAAGGAAAAGACCTGTGATGGTAAGCAACTGGGGCACTGGAGAAACTTTAGGAGATTATCAGAAAGTCCACAAGTGGAGGACATTTTGATTAACAGTCTAGAGTATAGTCAATTTTACTGCTGTTGAATCTCTTTTCTAATAAGAAGAGCCTGATTGTTTCTGAATTTAAATTTCTAGAAATGTGCTGTCGTTCAGTTTCCAAGAATGTTCTAAAATGGTCATGCTTTCTTAAAGCCAAGACAATGAAGTACTTTTTTCATGTTTTGAGCAGTATAGGACAAGGAAAGAAATTTATGAAATTGCTTTCTTTTGATCCCATTCAGAATTTCCCTTCTTTTTACAAAGTATATTCCTTGGGCTCTCTTCATCTCCGGGGTTTTGGTTTGTAGAGAGTAAAGGGCATTGGTAGGAGCAGCTGGAATACCTTGGCCAAGTTTCCTATGAACCGGAATCTTAAACTATCTCTTTCCCATAGTTTGAATTTCTGAGAAGAGTAAAGCATAGACTTAAGGTGAAAATGATTACACAGTTGTTGCAATAATTTCTAATACCCCAGTGTCCTAGCAGTCTAGACACACTTGCGCACTGGAGGCAAGGCTGATGGGCAGACTCCTGCTTTGTTCCTCACAGGTTAGGAAAAGGTGGCCTACCTTCCAGGGCTCCAGCTGGCTAATAAATCAATGAACATAAATGCCAAGCAGTGTGTTATTACAGCTCACTTCGGACACAAGTATTTAAAATGATTATCAGTATGTGACCTAGGAAGGGCTGTCCCTTGAGCTTGCTGCTAAAGTCTCCTTGGGTCTTTAGGCAGCATTCTGACTGCCCTTTCCACCTCAGGAGTGGAGCTTTCATGTGGTTATCTTTCAAGGCAGCCTGGGTGGCCACGAAGAGCACTTGACATCTTGATGCACTTCAGCAGTTTTACATATATACAAACTTTGTAGAAAAATAAATTTGTCATTCGTCACCACATATGCTGATCTGGGAAGTGATGCGTTTGCAGTTCGGGCTCTGAGCAGTTTGCTGGGCTTCTTCAGTTGATCTTGTAGACTTCTTTGTTATTTTGGATGCTAAAATGACTTTGAATATACAAAGACCACCGCGGAGAAGTCTGTGAATCTAGCATGCTGCATTTTCTGTGAAATGATACAGCAAACGAAGATGCCAAGTGCTGGCTGGGATCACTTTCAGCTAAGGGCTGTAAGGGCAGAGGTCTGCAGCTACCCCCCGCCATGCTTTCCAATCTGTTATTGGTCTCTGTGGGCCACTGAGGCTACTGGGAGCTGCTCCACTTTGCATTGAAGAATGTGATAAAGGGGAAAAAAAGCAGCCAGTTTAAGAAAAGTCAGAAACATGGCTACAGTTTATAAAAGCAATAATATTTCACATCCAAATGATTTAGGTACGTGTTATGCTATATGCAAAGGAAGCAAGCAAATGTAGAGTGTTTATTATTTATAAGAAAGTTCTATTAAATTTTTTATCTATGTTTTTGCTGCTCAAAAAATTCTAAGATGTACACAGCACTTTCAAAGGTTTATCTGAGTCACATCCTACTATACTTAGGAATTATCTCTTTCTTAAATGCCATTTAACTTTATAAAGGGTTCACTGCAGTGATTGGTGTATGAACTTGGACTAAGTAAAAATAATCGGTCTTGTTAAATTATGTTCTTCCTCCATGCCTATTCTTCTAATTAAAATAATAACTATGCAATTTATAAATGTGTCTGTATGTGTGTCTGTGTGTGTGTGTGTGTGTGTGTGTGTGTGTGTGTGTGTATGAGTGGGGGTGCATGTAACACCCAGAGGTTAACACTGGGTATCTCACCAAACTATATAGACACAGATTCTGAAGCAAGCTCCCGGATCGGCCTGTTTCTGCGATCCCTGCCCTAGGTTAAATATGTTCATAACTGTGCCAGTCTTTTTTTCATGTTTTTATGCTTAGGTGACAGGTACCAACTGAGCTACTCCTCCCTGGGTTATAAACTTTTGATGACCTTGATGGGAACTATATGTTTCTTAGGGTCTGGAATGTGATGGTGACCAGGTGTCTCTGTGACACCTTATTCAGAGAGTTCCTGCAGCCATTCTGTCATCTTCTCTTTATGTTGTACAGGTTTGGTTATAGCAGCAGAGTTCTTCTGGGTCTCAGTTTTTCTCTTCTGTCCAGAGAACAGGACTTCACTGTTTTACCCATCTCATGGTATTTCTAAGGTGACAATTAGTCATTTTATGTGAAAATGCTTGGTTAGATGTTACTTTTCTAGTAATTCTTAGTCACACATTATCTAAAGAAATATCTTAAAAACCATGGGGTGTCTTTTTATCCCTTACTGCTATGTAATAGAAGCAGTGGCCTTGATATGAGGCTGGTAGGAAAAAAAAAAGGTTCCAACAAGAAACATCTATGGTGCTGGGGTATAATTCAGAGAGATGAAAAGAAAAGAAAAGAAAAGAAAAGAAAAGAAAAGGAGGTTTTTAGTGATAATAACCCAGATGTATAAAGTTATACTGATAATCCAACGTGCAAAAAGTTTACAATTTGTATTAGTATCTTAACAAGAAGCATAAGGCATTAGAACAAAGTTAGTGTACTGTTTGTCAGCTGAAACTGTAGTTCTCTCTTCCACAGCAATAAAACATAAGCCTTTGGGAAAGTTAACTACGAAGTAAAATAGGAAGGTGAAACACATTTTACAACTCCTATAAACAAGCCTCTGAGAATAGCTGTCTTATAACGATGCTGGCAATGTTTTAACCTACGCATTTTTCCTTTACCTGGAATATGGCCCCGACAAGTGTAAAAGAACTCTTTGCAGTAGTCCTTGCAGAGCAGCGGAAGTACTAGGTCTCCATCCAGGACCTCTCTCTCAGGTGAGCAGAACAGGCTCTGCGAGTGTGGCGAGCAAGGAGCACATTTGATCTCTTCTAGTAATTTGCCACATTCTGTATTGTTGGTAGAAGAGAAGATCTGAAAGCCACAGATCAGAAACACATCTTGTTAGTCATGAGAAAACTGAGCTTTGTCAGGTTTTCTCCCCCCCCCCTTTCAATCATGTTAAGTAGAAAAGTATGAAAAAGACTGAGTATGTTGCAATATAGTCTTTCAAAAGAACACGTCATCTTTGCTGCCAGGGTGGGAAGACAAAGGTCATAAGGGAAAACACAGAAGCACTTCTTGCCTTTGCAAATCCAAGTGTGTGAATCTGTTCTTCTGCTGTTAAAATAAGATGTTTATAGATACACTTACTCTACCCCAGAGCATATATTGAATCACATTTACCTTAAAAATTCCACACTTTTATCCAACTGTGTCCACAGTATAACTTAAAGACATGGCTTATTTGTGTCATGGATAAAAAAAAATCCATTTAATTCCTAAAGCCCCTAACATGGCTTCAAAACTGTACTTAAATAGCATTTTGGTAAATTTCTACTTGTTCCCAATCTGCAAATGTTACCATGCAAGTTCCATGTCTATAAAAATACCCAAAACTGAACCAAATGGGCTTAAGACCCATTTTTAATATTCATTATATCTTAGCCAGGAAAAACTTTCTAGCTAGTTCCTTAGGTATTTTAAATGCATGAATAAACACAGAGTTTAATGAAAGTGCTTTTGTATAGTGGGTAGTGAATTTTAATGAAAAAGAATACTTTTATTATTATTCTTACAATGATATGTCCTTTGTTTCAGTAAGATTAATTCTGGAGGACTTGATGATCCCTTGAAGTTAATAACTTGTAGGTAGAATGGATCTTAGCATCAGTATTCACTCAGAAACCTGACTTGAGGAACCCTTTCAATAAGTATAGAGGACAATGTCAGCCTATTATCTGGGAAATAAAATTAATGCTATCTAAATCAATCCTGATTTCCCCTCCTACATACACTACAAAACTCTACAACATGTATGCATTTTATACTGTTTTCATCTAGGTGTCTACTTAAGTATTTTTCTGGAATAATGTACTAAAATTAAGTTTGAAACTTTAGAAAATTGCTTAGTTCTCTAAAACAAGTATTTCTTTTACAAGTTGAGCTCATTTGAGTAAATAATATAGCTTCTGTTTTTCTGGATTATGATATCACAGGGTCATAAAACCCTAGATCTAAAAGACAGGGTTGGATTATGATATTACAGGGTCATAAAAACAGGGTAACCTAAAAACAAATTGCATGGAGTCTAAAGAGGCTGCTCTAGTCCAGAAGAAGGATTTGTATATTAAAACTACTTAGAGTATTCAAAAGTTATTAATCATACTTGCATTTACATTTTAATTTTTATCAGTTTGTTTAAGTGACAACTGTGTAAATGGTCCAAGTTTTGTAAAAGAAAACATACACCAGACACTTAGGATTTGCATTCCAAGAATGTCTTTTATTGTCCAGCCTGGAGAGAGACCTCACCAGATCTATTCAATATGAATAGTGGTCAGCTTGTTTCTGTTTATTTCACATATATAGCAACCCTCCAAGAACTAAACAACTGCAGGGACCTGAAGCCAAATTTTCTGCTGCCTGAAAACTGGGCTGCAATTACCTTTGCTTTTATGGAGACTATTTGTGCTTCTATTTTTTTTTTTTAAATAGCTGACACAGAATGATCCCATGTTCTCTCCCAGCTGCTCTCCAGGAAGAGCTTGCTTTTAGTGCCTAAAGAATTCTGTCTTTTACAATTTTTGGAATGTGTCCTGCCCACAAGATCCCTCATCAAAAGTTTCACGAATAGGATTCAATAAATTATCTGAAATCAAGTAGAATATTATTCTTGTTAAGGTTTGACGCTGTTCCGGCCCAGCAGGATGGGAACATTTTACTCTGTGTGAGGTCTACAATATAAACACCTATTTGAAGATAGATAGAGCCATCATTCTGGCTTTGGTTTCAATGAACCAATAGTCTTACTGAAGTCAATTAAACTGGCTCAGCCCAAGCAACAACATTGGTTTAGGCAGATGAGTACTGATGGGTGCATGTGTTTGAGGGGGGGCGGGGATACCCCTGTCTTTTCTTTCTTTCTCTCCTCCAACATGTCTATGTCAGGTACACAGGTTCTTAATTTAATGCCTCATATTGCCATTAATCTTAAGAAGAAATTTCAGTTAATTTCCTGTTTCAATTTTTAAAGGCCAAATACAAAGTCATCAAGTTATAGTGGTTTAGCCAGTTATACTTTGGAAATCGTGTAAAAAACTTGCAAACATGATCACAGCCAGCCTAGGAAGGACTGATGCTGTGGCTGTGTAGTCTGTAACATTTGGCAGCTTATCCTTTAATCTTCAGCCCTGTGAAAGTGAAATCGCCAGAAGAAAGGTAAGTGCTGGGATACAGGAGAAAGCCCACAGCTACAGCTTATCAACGGAGAAATAGGTGGCAGAGACCCCCTATATTTCTCTTTATTTATCACATAACTAAATAAAGAGGCTAAAGAGGCACCCACATGGGTTCCATGAAGGGCTAAAAGTAGAAAATACATGGCAGTATATTAAGATGTCGCCTTAAGATCACTTGGTCCACAAAAAAGCTATTTCTAAAAAATCATATGTCTACAAGACTGTTCAGCTGTAGGGCAGAACACACGCGCTCTGGACTATAGTACTGGATTATGTCATTAAAGAGTTCAGTTTCAATTTTAGGCTAATATGTAAATAGATCATTGTACTGAGGCAGCTGTTAAAGGGACCCCAGGATGAGTTATTTGTTTAGTTGGATGTGTTCAACAATAGCCTTTGTCCCTGCAAGAGCCAGAGCAAACAAATGATTGTAAAAGGGCACACTTGAAAACAATTACTTTTCACCCATTCCTTGACAGCTTTGGCTGTGAAACCACCAGAGAGAGAGAGAGAGAGAGAGAGAGAGAGAGAGAGAGAGAGAGAGAGAGGTACACCATTTTAGAAATGGTGTATTTCGGTGGGTTGTAGATTCAGTTTGGCTAATGAGAATTACATCTTTTTAGCATGCTATGTTTAGGATCCGCAGCAATTTTTCTAAGACAACATAACCTACTAAATTTTGGCATCACGTATGTCTCATCATAGTCAGGGGAAGAATAGCAGAAAGGATATGTGACAGGTAGGGTTTTAGTTGGGGGGATGGTAGGGGAGGATGGGAGGGAGAAGGGAACTGGGATTGTCATGTAAAACAATCTTGTTTCTAATTCAAATAAAAAATGATTAAAAACAACCTACAAGAAACTCAGACATAAGAACACAGTATGGAGTCTAAGAAATTGAACTAAATTTTGATTCACTAAAGAAAGTTCGTTAATCTAGCAACTGGATTGAACTGCTTAGCTGCACATGCTCAGTCTTCTGACTTTTCTTACTATTATTTGTCTTTGAAATTTCTTCCCTGATGAAAAGCTACTGTAGTACTTTTTTTGAAAAGTTGCAGAAAATGCAAAAATCTTTTCTGAGTTTTTTTTTTTTAAACAACAACAATAGCAAATGGCTTTTTTGAATAGCCAACATCTCTGTTACATACACATTTATGAAATAATACCCTAACATATATTATAACCTAGGAAGACACTTATGTTTATTATAAATATAACATGTTTTTAAAACTGTTAAAATTTGAGAACATAGGTGAAGAATCCATGAGCATGACTGTGACACAGCTCTTGCCTTGAACACTTTGAGTATTGTTTGCTTGTAAACCACTTGCCATAGAACTATGGAACCCAACTTGCTTCACACACATTTTCCAAAGGAATCGGAATTTGTTGGAGACTGAAAGCGCTTTGACAAGAACATGCATGGCTAACATGGCAGACCTTTCCTAAGTAATTGTTTTGTTTAAGTTCTTTTTCTTAATGTAGCTTCTCTTAAGGAGTATAAACTCCCTGAGTCTGCCCCCTTACCCCTCCTCCCCACCATAGTTAGTTAAGAACAAAGTTTGCACTCCACATGCTTCTGGAAGAAGTCAGTATTGCAGGGGTTTCTGCATCCTAGGTATATTCACAGCATACACTACACACAGGGACACTTCATGGTGAGTAAATATTTCTACACCTTTCTCTGAGTTTCCCCTTGGGATGGGGGTGGGGACTCCCGGAGAAGCCTTTTAGATGCTCTGACTGAGCTGCTTCTGTAGCTTCATTCAATTAGGAGGCTGGGGCTTAATGACATTGTTGTGAATAAAACGCCAGAATATCTGTTCCCCGCATCTCAGACTACTGCTGCATATGGTAAGAATAAAGAGAGAGCTGCAGCTGAAACCCACGGCAAGACAGCTCTCACTCATCTGGGAATAGAAGGAGTTGGACAAACGCTCCCTCAAAAGGCATGAACATTTGGACAGAGCTGGGGACTGAGAGAGAATGATGTTCTCCAGTTTCACCCATTAGTGAACCAACTAACAAATACAATGGTGGTGTTGTTATTCTTTGGCCATAAGCAACAGGACGCTGTGTGTGGGCAGCAGTTTAGTGGGGAGGAGGATACGTCGACCCCTTTTTGTCCTATTGATTTTTTTCCTATTTGCATGACTTGAGCAAATTAAATGATGCAATATGGCTTTTTGTTACAAAACAAAGTGAGAGGTACCACCCAGACACATATGTTGATTCGCAGGAGCTGTTTACATGATAATAGGGTGAAATCTACCGTGAACTGAGCATAAAAATTAGATTCAGCCTGGGCATTTTTTTTTTTTTTTAATGCCCGGGCCAGCAAGAGTGGCACACAAAGTTTTCCGAGTCTCTCAGACCTTGACAACTGCAGGCTTGTAACAGAGGAATTCTTAATTAAATCTAAAATGGGCAAAGACAGGGGGAGCAGGGACACCTGATTGCCTGTCCCCTGTGAAGTGATTGTTAATGACAGGATCCCACAGACGGCACACAGCACTGCATCCCCTGTAAGAAATCTCATGCAGAACCAAGACCAACGATGGCTTGCACTGGACAGACATTTCTTGGCTAAACTAATCAAGGCATGAGAAGTGCATATGTCATCGCCCATAAAAATGAGTTTCCAGACAAGATCCTCCTAGACAATACTGCACCAGCGAAGACCTGGATTTATAACGTTACAACAAGACGGAGAAACCACTGAATAGGAGGCTCCAGCAAAATCTCTCGAGTTCTTATGGTACCAGGAGTTCCCTTCCGCAGGTTTAACCATTGTCATGCAAGCTAGACCCTTCTGCCTGGGCTTCAGATCATAAGCCAACACTGCCTAGATAGCCTTTAGAATCCAGTCTGCTCACACTAGTTAGAGCACGTGGAGAAAACGGAACAAATCTTTTCTACCCCAGAAAAATAAACCGGAAACCACAGCCACCCTAATTTACAGTTCTACCTCACCAAATGCTAGATTTGATCCAAAATACACTGTTAATCCCCATTCTCTTAAAATATTTACCCAGATCAGGACTCGGGTACCACAGAAATGTCTCTCTAGAGATAGGCAAGTTTGACGAGCATCCCCACAACGGACTCCAGGGAAGGAGGGCTATCCGCACACTGCTGAGGAACACACACCCAAAACACCTAACCATCTTAGAAAAGTTATAAGAACTATCGAAATGAGTTTGCCCTCTCTTGCAGCCACCAGCGAGTGCCTACCTTGTTCTCCAGACGCCCCAATCCAGGGCTGTCACTCTGCAGGCAGCAGGATACTCGGGGGTAGAAACCACCACACAGGATCTCTCCTCCACTCAGCAGCTCCAGCTGAGACATCATCCGCCTGTCTCTCCTTTTCAGACGCTTAGGGGGGTTCCCATTCAGGCACCTTCTCCTCCTTGCTCCATTCCCTTCGCTCCTTTCCCCAAACTTGGCATCTCCTTCAAAGAAGCCCAGAGCCACGGCTAGCAGTAGCAGCTTAAACGAGAGCATCTTCAGCATCGTCTATCCAGAGCAGCAGTGGCAGGACGCGGGAGGATGGGGGGTGAGGGGGGGCACTGCCCAGCAGGGCACTAGGGCGCAGCTCCAGGAGAGTGCTGCGGGGCGGCGGGACGCTCCTGGGGCGGAGGGAGGTGGCGAGGAGAAAGATGTAGAGCGCTGCAACTTTGCCCAAGGGCGGTGGGAGCAGAGAGATAAAGTGCAGATGACACTGTCCGCAGCCTTGCCAGCGTCACTTGGGTTAGGGGCTTTCCACAGCGGCTGGGAAGTGGGAGGAGAAGGAGTTGGAAGAGGAGGAGGAAGGGTAGGAGACGACAGTCATGGAACTTCGCTTGTCTGCTCAATGGAAGTTGTCTAGG